CCCAGCGCTCCCTTGCAGTTGTCTCTCTCTTTGTAGAGTTTAGAGAAAATCATTCAGCGAGACTTCTTTCCTGATGTGGAGAAGCTGCGAGCACAGAAGGAATATCTGGAGGCTGAAGAAAATGGTGACTTGGAGAAAATGAGGCAAATTGCTATCAAGTTTGGCTCTTCCTTGGGTAAACCATCGAGGGACACACCTGCACCCTGTAAGGACTGGCTCACTGGAACATAAGGGGTTTATATCTAATACTACTGCTCTGATTTATCAAACTTTGTACAGGCAGTGCTTATCTTAAAGTATCAAGGTTGACATTGCTTGGGAATTAGTATACCGGATTGGGCAGTAACCAGTATCTGATGGCAGATGGTGAATTTCCCTTTGATGGTGTCTAATAATTTCTTCTTGAGTTAGTGGTTTTGGGAAAACACCTATTGAATAACCCTTCCTCACAGGCATCTTTTGCCAAGTTCCTGCTCCCTAGGGAATGTTACACGCTCTAACGTGCAATATTGTACTATCAGAAACTCTAAGTTAATGTTTTGAATCCTTATTACATTTTTAGGGGTTCTCGTTGCATCTACAGATGTGTAAGATTTTCATATATTGGGGACAGAACAGATGTTGGATGCTCGTGGTTATCAGAGGTTCACCCGGCAGGCATCCAATGCCCTGTTCTGTGTTTGCTTTCTCTTCAAGTTCAGGTGTTTCTTATACTAAAGCCCAGTCCCTGGCTGAACTCTCATGGTGGGGTTTAGGTCACTGGCTTTCTCGTGGCATGTGTCACCAAGTGATTTTCCTTCCTCCCCTACTGTAGGTGCTGTCCCTGGCCTAGGTTAGGATTGTTATGCTGATGCTTTTTCCTCTTGGTTAAAGCTGCAGACAGGGTGGCAAATATACTGGGCTGTGGCTCTCTGGTGATTTCTTCCTAGCAGGAGAAAAATAATGTCTTGGATGAGAGCAAAATTTTGTTTGGTGGTTGGGACAAAATTGTATAGAGTATTTTGGAGTCTTTTAAAAACTTTTAAATTAAATTTTTCTTCCCTTGATATGTCTTCTGTGACTTGTTTGGCACATGACCCTTACTATGGTGGAAGATGTCACAGCAAGTGGCCTGTTCCGTGCTCTAGTGACCATGTGAGTCTTTTTTTTTTTTTCTTCTGTCACAGATGTTCCTCCAGCCACGTTTGAAACCCCAGAAGTGCATCCAGGTGGTCTTCCCCCAGGGAATAAATCTAAAGCTGGCATCAAAGCTGCAGCGGAAGGTAGGAAAATGATGTTTCTCTAGCCGAATTCTCCAGCATCAGAAAAATACTTTTGTGAGCTCTGTCTTCTGTAAGGGTTTTGGGTATTTAGCAGATGTTTAGTTTCCTTTAACCTAGTACGTGAAAATGATCACTCTGCAGTTGAATTTGATGTAATGTTTCACATCATGTGTGTGAATTCCCAATTGTGGGTCTCCTTATGGCTGTGTAAATTCTTAATGCAGTTGATCTCTCTGAAGGCAGTAAATTTTTCCTGTCTGTCGTGGTTTAACCCCAGCTGGCAACTGAGCCCCATGCAGCCACTCTCTCACCTCCCCCCCGGTGGGATAGGGAGAGAATTGGAAGAGTAAAAGTGAGAAAACTTGTGTGTTGAGATGAAGACAATTTAATAGCTAAAGCAAAAGCTGCCCACGCAAGCAAAGCAACATAAGGAATTCATTCACTGCTTGCCATCGGTGGGCAGGCATTCAGCCATTTCCAGGAAAGCAGGGCTCCATCACTTGTAACAGTGACTTGGGAAGACCATCACCATCACTCCAAATGTGTCCCCCCCCCTTCTTCTTCCTCCAGATTTATATGCTGAGCATGATGTCATATGGTGTGGGATATCCTTGGGGTCAGTTGGGGTCAGCTGTCCCAGACATGTCCCCTCCCAGCTTCTTGTGTCCCCCCAGCCTCTTGCTGGTGGTGGGGGGGTGAGGAGCAGAAAAGGTCTTGGCTCTGTGTAACCCCTGCTCAGCAGGGATGAAACCATCCCGGCGTTATCAGCGCTGTTTTCAGTTCAAATTCAAAACACAGCTTCATAGTAGCTACTATGAAGAAAATTAACTC